CCACCCCCACCCCCAAATAAAACTTTGACATGCTTTGAAAAACTATCAGAAGCTTGTGGTCAGGCTAAAACCTGCAAAAACAACAAAATACTCCTTTAATGACCGACCTTCTTTATATTACGTTGGAACTCCTTGTGTCGAACAGGCAGGGTATGGAAGAGCTGCTGCAGGCTGACTGTGGTGCCTTGCTGACGTGGATGAGGAGACTGTTGCACCAGGTGACCTTTGTTGTCAAACACCAGTTTGGTGCCCACCTGGCTGGACTCATGGCATGTCACCACACTCAGGTCACTGGAACAAGGAGTTGGAGAGAATGTTTGTTGATGATGTAACAACTAATTTAAGTCTGTGCACAGAATAATAATAGGATTTTACCTCAAAGCACATAAAGAGCTGAGGGCTTCACCTCTAAAACCAAATGTTTCCACGTGGATGAGATCAGAGAAATCCTTTAGCTTTGACGTGTGATGCTTCAATGCTGTGGAACAGATGGAAGAGGTTTCACTTAACCAAAATGATGAGGTAGAACTGGACTAAATGACTGAACTGACAAAGTTGACACTTACTCAATCCTTCAAAGTTGGCCTCCTCTACACCTTTGCCATTGTCTGACACATCCACTTGTTCAGCTCCACACTCCTTCAGCTTCACATCTGGAACATGAAAACCTTGTTCAGGCATGAGGTCAGACATCGATGGTCCCACTTCACTTCCAGGTGGACTTCTCTTCCACTAGATTGAAATTCTCAATGTATTTTGTCACAAAAATGTTTACTTTGTTGCACTTCCTGAAAAGATGAAACATGATTTCTTTCATATTTTAAGCAAAATTGCTGCCCTCTATTGTACTGGATTGTAAAACAGGCAGCATCCCATTTTAACAAAGATAAAACAACCTATAAATAAAGTTGAGTATATCTCTTCATACCAATGTTGGTGGCTCCTGCATCAATGCTGTTTTCCACCAGTTCTTTGACAGCAGTGGCCAAACTCAGCACCACCTGTCCTGAGCAGATCTGGTGCACTGAGTGCTTGTCAATGGCCTTGATAGTTCCTGCAGGTTCAGAGCTGCTAAAAAGAAAACAGGCATTCAGTAGCAATGTTGAATAATAACTTCCTCCTCTGCTATATTTATATTGCAGCAACACATTTACAAATGCACAGCTATCAAGAAAATAACAAGGATGTTCTAAGCTCCTGAAGCTATGCATCCTCTGACATGTGATGAGGACATCATGATTGTGGGCAAGTAAATGTCAAGTTTTACTAAAGTTAAAACTACTTGGAAAGCTGGCTGCGATGCCCAGAAACCTATATGACAACAGAAGTGACTGGGTCTAAAATGTAATGTGTTTAACATTTAGATTTCCGTGGTGCAAAACCAACCATACCTGCAAGCAAGTTAAATAAATACTAAGGTAGCTAACTTACCAAGCATCAGCCATCTTCAAGGAATGAGAAGCTTCAAGAGGAATTCATTCATAAATTACTATGGGACGGAAGAATGCAAGAGACAACAACTTATAGGCTGTCATTTATGTAAATGTAGCTGTTTTGTTTTTAACTGTTAGTGACATCATTTTCGATGCATCCGCTTCACTACATCACGTTATAAACAAAAGTGATCTACCGCGCAGAGTACACAGGTTGTTCGCGAGGTTCAGTCGTGCGCAAAAATGCGCACTCTTACTATTAGATCATAAGTAATAATATAAAATGTTGGACATCTATAAAAACGAACTCACAAAACTAACACCAAACATAAGACTGATAGCAACGTGAAACCAATGACATCGCTGTACATAATCAACACCGTTGCCTCAAACTTTGTAGCATTTCATCATCAAACAAACCGGAATTGATGTTAGGGCTCGTGTGCAATTACCTCATACTGTAAGAAAACGAATAAATCGATCGTTCTTTGTTGCCGAGCCATTTTCAGTTACTTAACGTTATATAGCTCTATGCTTATTAGAACTCAACACGTACACATATTTATTTTTATGCCGTAATTTTGAGTAAAACGTTTTTCCTATCAGTTACTCTTGCCTTTAGTCATGCATATTGCTAGACGGGCCCTCTATGGCTGCTAAATCATGGCCGTCCGACACATTGGGGGTTGTATATGGTGCTTTTGAAGCTTTTTACAGTTTAATACGATGTAGACAAACATATGAGAAGCTAGAATTTATTGAATAGTTTAACAAATAGTAACGCATCGTAGTACAGATATGAGATATCTGTTTTAAAATAAGTACTTTGATTTATTGATTTCTCATCATTCACATACAAAAAATGTACAGCTCAACGTCCAACAGCGTATTCCAACGTCGGCCGGAGGAATGTTCTGGCAAGCTTTTGGTCCGCCACAACCTTCCACCAACCCAGAGACATAAAGGAGAGACCAATGTTAGCCTCTTAAATTTGGCAAGCGAAGAGGACGATGAAGTCCAGTTTGACAGTAAGCAGCCTTAACTACCACTGCTTAACTATGTTTCTAAATGCTATTTTATTGCCTCCTCCTTATTGCTGGAGTTCATTTGCGATTTCAAGCATCTGTCCACAGCTGCTCAGCAGTTATTTTATGCATCACTCATTCCTAATTGAGTTCATGGGTTTGGGGAGTCACCTGAAATCACTTGTAAGAACTTAATGAACAAATGTGCCCCAGTAGTCCCAAATTTCTGATCTAAAAAGAGATCATATTCATTCAGTTTGCACAGAAAAGAATTGAATAGAATTAAAAAAATGTTCAGCCCACACTCCACTGTCATGATGACATGAGAGTAAAGAGGTTTCAGATGAAACAGCCTTGCCTTCCCATTTTGGCAAGTGTCTCAGCTTGGTCATGTGTTCATAGAGTACAGTAGATGGAGGAGGCTGGTGTAGGCTGGACCAGGCAGATAAGCATTACTGTTGTGCACGCCCCTTAAGTACAAACAAGATCAGCTCAGTTTTTGCTTTGGGGGTCAACTGAATAATCGCAATTACAGCTCTGAGAGCTTAATAGTTTACCAAACGTGTTTTTATACAGAAAAATGAATGTAGGAGATAAAAACATTGCTGAAATGATTGCAAAAGTTATTGAAGAAGGTAAGACAGTTATAATTTTATACAAACAAATATTGTTGGTATGAGTATTTGATTTCATTGGAAGTAGAATCGAGGTAAATAAAATCTAAATTGTGCTACAATATTTGGTTTGAGTCTTTTAAAGGCACATTTCATTGTAATATATATATATGCAAGAACAAAACCAGCTTCTTTTTTTCTCATTTGTAATTTCTTTTTCATGTTCAGCTTCTGACACAGATAATAACCGTGAGGTGTTGATGGCTGGTAGACATTACCCGTCCATCCAAGAGTTTGCCTCAGCAATCCCCAACCACCTTCTCCTGGGGTCTTTGCTGGAGCACCTGTGCTTCGTCTATGAGAGCAATCCAGCACGCTCACGAATGCTGTTTAAAGGTAGGCACGGGGAACAGTAACTAGTTTAAAAAAACATCTGTAACAGTCTGTGCCCACATCAGGCTTTGTAAGGTATACTGATATGATTGTTGTTCCTCTGACAGTCATTGGCCAACGCTTAGCAGCCATGAACCTCCTCTCACCTTTGGCCATAAGCGATGAGTTCAGTACCGTCAGGCTCCAGCACAACCGGGCCTTCACTGAGCTGCTTAATGCTGCCAGCTCCTCATTGTGCCCACAGGTAAATGGACATGTAGGCAGATTATACGTTACTGGACACCAAAATTCTTTAAATAAATTATGTATAGTGACTTGTTTTATTTAGTATAAGAGATGTCAGTAAGAGCACTGAGCAAAGCAGCACAGTCTGGTGACAGTTTACAATTAATTAACTTTGTACTGTTTATTTTATTGTGCTCTGCTTTCTGTGTTAGTTGTTGTCATGTCCATGGTGTTATCACTCTGTTTATTGTCTTCTTATTTTACAGGGTCTCAGCTCAAATACACACAATCCTGCTGTAAGGTAGGGTGCACTTTTTGAGTACTTATGAATGTTAAGTTGCCTCCAAGGCTCATGTAAGTCGTTCTTCTTTTTGCCCTCACATAGACCTAAGGAGGAACTGTTTCAAGCGCAGACATCACGGTATCTTAGTGAGTTTGAAGAAATCTGTAGACTTGGAAAAGGATCATATGGAAATGTTTTTAAGGTATTTTAGTCCATTCTACTTCACACAATTTTTCCACCAAACTCTTCTAAAGAAGTGCTTGACTTGAGTCGATCAACACGCTCGTGTTATCATTTTGAAGGTTATGAACAAACTGGATGGACAGTATTATGCTGTGAAGAAAATTCTCATCAAAAAAGTCTCCAAGGATGACTGTATGAAGGTGAGTCATCAGTGTTTTATCAGCGGACCATTTTTAAGTCCAAACGTAGAGACATAATAGGCAGCCCCTATAACAACTGTGGTTGTTTTGTTTGCTCTAGGTCCTCAGGGAAGTCAAAGTGTTGTCCAGCCTGCAGCATGTAAATGTTGTGGGCTATCACACTGCATGGATGGAACATGTTCAGCCTGTGACATGTGAGTGTTTAACAGCTGTCCCGTAACATGTTTGTTTCGCTGAAATGAATGAACTTAGGGCTCACAGAGTTTGGTGAATGATAGCACTGTGTTATTTGTCAGAGCAGCTTTATGTTTGAACTGCCTTTGTTGTTATAGATCCTGAGTCTCTCCTGCCTGCACTGCAATCATCTGGACAACAGGACAAGTAAGATACATCTACACTAATGCTAACTTGTACTGGAATGATCTCCTTCTTTACTGGCTGATGACTTTTTGAAATGATACCACACATTCATAAAAAAGTTACAAACCAAATAGTATCTAGTAACCGACATAGGTTTGTCCAAAACTCTGTTTTTTTTTTTTTTGTAGCTCTGATGAGATCACTGACTGCAGCAGCAGCTCCTCTATAGTTTTTCAAAGCCTCAGTCAAGCACAGACAGATGCTGCTTCAAGTGCCATCGTACCTCAGACAGAGACCCAGGCAGTCAAAGCTTTAGTTCCAACCCAAGAGAAGGGCCAGGTGGTGTGTCCCAAGACAATGCGCCGCATCCCTGAGAACTACATCCCATGTGTATTCCTGGGACAGCAAGGTCCCATGAGGAGCTTCAGATGTCCTGTTGCAGGTTGGGAGGGCTCAGTACTGTTTGAGGAGGAGTCTAGCAGAAGTAGCATGGAGCTGAACAACAACTCCTACATCAACAAAGAGTGTCAGCAGTGGGGTGACCAACGCACAACAAAGCCTTCTAAAGAGGTAGAGGCTTATAGTGGCCTTCAGGGATTAGACTAATTACTAGAAAGATAAAGATCACCATGTTTTACTGCCTACTGAAAGTATAAAGTGTATTTTTTTTCTTCTTTAAAAACTGTGAAATATACACATGAAGGAAAGTTTGAGTTATGGTTCCTCTATGTCTGCAGGTACAGTTTCACCTCATGCTCTACATCCAGATGCAGCTGTGTGAACGCTCACTGAAGGACTGGATCACTGAGAGGAACTCCAGGCCCAAAGAAGAACAAGCCTCAAGATGTAATTGTTTAACACATTACACATAACTTTGCAATATTAATTTGTCCAAATGTACTTAGTAAAAGAACACAAATTTAGATTGCTAATCAGTTTGTCACATTTACCAATGACTGCCAAAATAATTCATGTGCTAATTTACTTTATGTGTTCTGAGTTATATATGCTACCTTTTTATTTTCAGGTCCTTATGTCAGTGTTGATTCTGAACACACTCTGAGCCTGCTGAGGAACATAGTTGAAGGAGTGGAGTACATTCACTCCAGGGGAATCATACATAGAGACCTGAAGGTAAGGTGCTTTGATAGATTTTATTTGATTAGCAGTGGTTTGACACCGTTTGTTTGAGGTTATCCGATTTAAGATTTCTCTGTAGAAGAACGTAAACTTTTGCTGTCACAGGCAGTTTGCACCGACGCACATTTATCAGGTCATACCAAGTATATTATTAATAGAATCCTGTTCAATATCAGCCACAAAGGAGATGTGTGTATTGTTCCAGCAATTGAAGACAAAGTCATATAACTTGGCAGGCAGCATTTTACTCTGTTCTCCTATCTTACCTCGGATATGTTTCAGATAAATATCTTTCTTACAAATATCCTGAAGCCTCCTTGGCTGCTGAATGAGTTTTAGTAGCTGGTCTCTCTGCTTAAAGAAGCATGCTAGCGTCAAGGTCGAGGGCAGGTGGCCTTTGTGGTTGTAGATGGTGAGTGGGGATGTCAGGCTGAGGAGTTTCCCCAGCAGAGAGCTGTTTCTTACATTAGGCGTGTGGTTCAGGAACAAAAACAGACAGCTTTCTCCTGCTTGGCTCAGCTTGCTGATGTCAGCTCCGTACCTGAGCAGCAGGTCCACCATCTCCTCATTGCCCATGATGCACACCTCCTGTAAAGGTGTCATTCCAGCCTTGTTTTCTGTGTTGGGATCGGCCCCGTGCTCCAGCAGCTCAGAGATGCAGCTGGTGTCCAGGGTTTTAGTTGTCTTCATAGCCATTGCTGTAGACGCTAGGTGCAGAGGAGTGTTTCCAGAGTGCTTCACCCCCTTGAACAAATGTAGGAATTTGCATGAATGTAATGTAAGATGTAGAATTTTTAGCTTATATTTTACCATGGTTAAAAGCACAGAAAGGTCATTTTCAGTAGCAACTTGATCCAAAAGATGTTGCAGCTGCACAGAGATTTTCTGTGTGAAATATAGTTTTGTTGTTGTTGTTTTTTTTCTCAAACATTTCTATGGATATGTTATAACAAAATCTTCATGTAATCTGGACCACTGGTCAGCAATTATGAACAAGTATCTTTTATACTTTGTGGCAAGTTCAGATGTTTGAAACACAAAATAAAACACAGTCGTTCTTAATAGTCCACTGGATTTAGTATTTTTAATGTTTTGTTTTCAATCTCGAACCATATTCATGAATAATGTTTTTGTTTTTTTTTTTATCTTTATCTTAATAAATTAGTCCTGAACAGAGAGGAGTGTAATTTCTGAATTATTTACAATTTTTTATAAGACCTTTTGATTTATGGCTGTGAAAACATGCATTTTACAAATAATATTAAAAAGGGCTCTGTTCTGTTGAAGTGCCCCAGTAAGTCACTGTTGTTATCAGTGTTAATTACACCTGATCTTTTTCCCACTGTCATATTTGATATGACTTTTGTTAAAATGCTGACTGTGTTTATATTTTGTGCTTTATTGTAAGAAAATCAGCAAAAATAAAAATTTCAATAATAAAGTGTTTAAAAATTACGGGACATGCCAACTGCCACAAACAAACAGAGGAAAACAACAAACCATGTTGATGTCTGCTCCCTGCCTGATCAAGCTGGTTATAATGCCCTTGTGGAGGATCCCAGCGGCCATATGCAGAGGTGTCATCCCACTGCTGTCCACAGCATTTAAATCAGCTCCATAACTGGCCAAAATATGGACAGCAGACAGAGCAGCGTAGCGCACAGACAGGTGAAGAGCTGTCTGGTGACTCTCCCCCTCCATCTAGGAACCACACATACCTTAGGCAAAATATTTCAAGAAAAATTGCATTCTTGAAAAATTTCTAATCTTTTTTTTTCTGAATTTATGTTTTAAACTATTCAAAACCTTTACATATTTAAATATTTACCCAGCACTGCAAATTACTCATTGCTTGTGACTTTGATAGTCTGGGTGGTCCAGCTGGGATCTGAAGTAACTGTGGTATACCTTCTACTGCTTAAATTTGTGCAAAAAGGTGCTAGTTATTAGTAAAAAAAAAAAAGTCACCTCTGCATTAATGTTAACACCATACTGACAGAGGAGCTGTAGACAGGCCTCTGCCTGCCTTCGTGCACTGTTCACAGTAGTCTGGAACTTGGAATCTGGTTTTGGCCGAGTAGCCAGGATGTTCGGCCAACTCATGATCACCAAGTGCAGTGTGCTTCGGCCGAGGTGGTCCCTGTGACAGAGGCAGAGACGGTGAAAATGGTGCAGGTGGAGAAATGTCAGCTTTCCTTTTTACCATTGAACAAATGACATGCTTGCTATTATACTAGGTGTCACTTTGCATGAGTTGAATCTGCAGCACTTGGAATGGGAAGTCTTCACAAAAAATAAAATTAGACTCTTAATGTATATCTGAGATTATTTATTTTGGGAAATAAGCTAAAAGGCTAAATTCTACTGACTTACTTTATTTGTTATTTATTGAGGGGCTTACACCATGAAAGGTGTCAGTGTGTACCGTAATATCCGGACTATAAGCCGCACCCACTAAATTTAAGACGAAAAAACATGTTGTACATAGTCGCAGGTGTCTATGTTGTAATATGAGATATTTCGACAGCCAGATCGATCGCCTGTAACTTGAAAGCTGCATCATATGCATTTCGTCGTGTGTTTTCTATGATGAGGGTGTGTGCATGAAGCGAAAAAAGAAGCAGCTTATAGTCCAGAAACTACGTTGCATACACTTGCCCATGTGTGTTTGTCCAAACCTCATTTCTGGGTCCGCCCCTGTTAACAGCAGGCTCTGCATGCACTTTACTCTTCTGTAAGAGGCAGCCAGATGAAGGGGAAGAATACTAAGGCCCTAAGGCAGGACAAGACGAGACAAATTGGGATTTGTAAAACACAAACATAGTGTAGGCTAACACTGCTGTACAAGAAATGCTTTCTTTTTCTTTGATTATCACAAATTGAATTATCACACTGGAGCAAAAACACACAACTGTTGTACTAATCGTGCTTTTCGTGGTTACCACTGCATCTAAATGCATAGCTATTTCCTATATGACTTGTTGATATAATATATAAAATGCTGTTTTTTTCCATGTGACAGTTTTATGTAAAGCTTAGAAGATTTCAGTTCTCAAAAGTAATTTAGAAAAAAATCGTTGAATTTTTGCACTTACCTTCCAGAAGATTTTTCTGAGTGCACTGTCTTGTACCTTGGTGAGAAAGTTGCTCCCGTGCTTTTTTGACATGTCTTCAATATGTCCAGAGTCTTCATCTATAATCGCAGGATAGAATTCATTGCTGTGAAATGTGGTAATGTTACCGCTTCTGTCTCCGTGTTCCTTGTGCTCCTCCAACATGATCAGACATCGACCCTTCACTGCTGTCTGTGTTTAGTCTTTTGCGGTCTGGTTTTTCTGGTTTGCGGAAGCATAACTTTCTCAGTGAGATGTCAGTGAATCTGGAGTGAATTTTAAATTAAAACCTTTGTCAGGTACTTCTTGTTTCTGTGTGGTGTTTTCAATTGCTACTTCTGTTTTCAGCGTTTGGTGCCTTCAGTCAGTGGGATTTCGTCATACAAGTCCTAGACTTGCGTGTCTAACTTTGATGTACAGCCTTCCTGTTACAACTGATAACTTCTTGCCACATGTGGGAGCCAAATATCTGAACTGGTGACACCCTCTGCAGTTGTTAAACCAGTTGCTTGTAGCACTTCAGTGTTTGACTTAGGAACGTAGAGGACTCATATACTAACCCAGACATCATTTGAAATGTAGGAAATGTTGTGCAGTATTTTAAATTTCAATAGGGTAGTTGACATGCTTCAAAGCAGCTGGTTTTTTTCTGAATCGCTTATCCTTTTTGCAGTGGATTCGTCTAGTGTCATAGTTGTGATGCATTTATCTTTTCCTCAGAGACTTGATGGACAAAATATATTTGAAAAATAAGTGTTTTATTTTTTTATTTATTTTTTGCCCTTAATATTTGTCTGAAATGCTGTGATCTCCATGCAAAAGTCTTGGAGTTTTTAATTTTTACATCCAGTCATACAGTAATTGGAACTCATAGAAATGTTTTGTTTTTCCCATAGCCAAGGAACATTTTCCTCCATGGTCATGACTGCCATGTTCGGATTGGGGACTTTGGTTTGGCCTGCAGGGACATTATCGTAGATGGACAGAAAGACACTACCTCTCCCAGCAGCGGTAATACCACACCTCTTAGCATGCTCTATTTTTATGACACAGTACCTCTCAGAATCACCAGTGGATGGCGCTGTTTACTTTTAGGTCACACTTCTGGCATATTTTGCAGATTCCTCACATACAACAGGTGTTGGCACATTTGTGTATGCTGCACCAGAACAACTGAAAGGCTCTCATTATGATTCAAAGGTAAACATTAATAGTACAGCCAATTAATTATCATGAATTTAGACTTTTTCATGTAACACATGCCAGCATTATATTTAATCATTTTGAACTATTATTTATTCATTAATGTCCATTGTTGTTATCACTTCTATCACATTTTAACAGCTACACTGAACATGAATATATCTGTGTATCAATGTTACTTTCCCAGTCAGACATGTACAGCATCGGAGTACTTGCTCTTGAGCTCTTCCAGCCCTTTGGAACAGAAATGGAGCGTGTTCGGACTCTTGGGGACCTAAGAGAGGGGAAAATCCCAGATTCATTCTGCCACAGATGGCCAGTCCTGACTAAGTATATCATGAGGTTGACGAGTAAAGAGCCCAGTGTTCGTCCCACAGCCAGCCAGCTTCTACTGAGTGAACTCTTCTGCAATAAAGACATGGTACCTAAAGATGATGATATATGTTAAAAATTATTTACCTCTATGACTTTTTTGTTATTACCGATCTGAAATCTGTTCAGTTGTCTCAAAAGAAGTGTAAATTAAATCTATGATTACTTACAATGTACAGTTCTTGTTTTACTGTATATGTGGCTACACTGCGTGTGACAGCAGAAAGTGCTCTTTTGGCTCCTAGGAGGATTACATTTGCATCTGCAGTAAAGCCCCTAATAATAATTACCAACCATTGTTTTTTCACTTCAGGTAATCCATGGTTTGCAGAGAAAAGTTGAAGAGCAGGAGGAAGAGATTATGCAGCTGAGGGGACAGATCAGTCGGCTTCAGAGCTCACAAGTCACAGTTCATTTTTCTGAGTTGGACAAGACCTGAGCTTTAAAAATCTCAACAACCTACAGACTGTTAAAACTTGATTTATTCAACCACTGCGGTACTGTTTTGGTGACTTGGTACAAGTGGTAGAGTGTGTGTATGTATGTGTGTGTGAGAGCACACCTGGTGTACACCTGGATAGCAGGGTGCAATTATCTATCTTCATTCACCTGTTTAATAAAACATATTTATACTGTGTCTGGTGGGATTAGTAATGATTTGAGATGTTGCTTTGAAAATGATGCATGTACAGCAAGTTGAAATTTGGGACACTGGTTCTTGGATCTATGCATGTGGTTTATGGTGGTTAGGTCACAGGAATGCACTCATATTTTCAAAAACTTTTAAGACTGGAAATGCTAAGGGCACACAAACATTTCAGCATAAATATAGCAGTCTGTGCTATCAGGTCAATCTGACAGTCTTTTTTCCAAATAACGATGCTGGGACCACGTATAAGATATATGTATTTGTATAAAGCGTATAATGTTAGTTGTATATCATGTACACAAAAGTCAGTGGTGAGTACATGCCACGGATCGGATCAAAACGTTCCTCACATAAATGTCCGAATGAGCCAATCAGAGACTTCGCTTTATTCCAGCTACCCGGATGTACCCGTGGGGCAATTATCTACGTCATTGTTCACCGCCGGACACCCGCTGGAAATAAGGAATGGATTTACAACCGCTTGTAATGTATTCATAACATATCCCAGGTAGGTGTGTAGTTGTTTTTACGATTAGGTGACACGTAAACGGTGCAGACGTAACATTATGGTAGGCCTGGGTGGCAGAGATTTGTTGTAGTATCCTTACACCGGTTCTCTGTCATGTCGGAGAGAGCAGCGCAGTGAGCACAGACAGCCGCCGGTGTCGAGCCCCTCCTTTCTCCTGTAGCTAGATGTCCCCTCCTTGCTCTGGCCCACACATCTCAAATCTAATTTATTTTTAAGTGGGATAAGAAAACGGCTCTAAGACATTTATAGTTTACTATATTACTGTCCGCCAACGTCCATCGTGCCCAGCTAGCTAGCAGCGTTAGCATCAATGCCGCCGCACGTAATGTTAGCTGCGTTCTGTGGCTAAGTAATCTGTTACGTTCGTCGTTTCCATGGTGTCGGTGTCTACTCGAGCCATCGCCTCTCATCAGCAATTTTGGTCCAGTCTTCAACAAGATATTTGTGCTTGTAATCGATGCTCTGTGTCCCACAGAGGTTAAAGAAGGTTTAATGCTTCTCTTGTTGAGGTTTAACGACGCTGCGTGTTACAGGCCTAGCAGCCGTCTGTTAGCCAATATGAACCAGTTTGCCGGAGCAGGTGGGACGGAACAGCTGCTGTTGTAAACGTGCTTCCGACCAGGAAATGTCCCCTGTCGGGCTTTTGAACAAGTGACGTTTGTAAATTTGAACGTATTAAAGATAGAAAACAATGCATCTGGCAGTGGTTTTTAACGTTAAAGGAAACATTGCAAGCCATGTAACTTATCGTCAGTCAGTTTTTACATATAACAGGATGGTGAATGAGAAGCGTGGAACTGTTAAATCCTTGGCTGGAATCAAGTTTGAGTGCTTCCCTGAGAGCGTGAACAAACTGGGGGTCTCGGTTTTTCAGTTTTACATTTTCCAAAGATAAATGATAATCCAAAATGTACTCGTTTTTAATACTAAATGTTAGAGAACTGAATAGCAGGGGAAATGCTAATTCACTGGGGTTTTTTTTACTGCATTTAGTTACATTGAAATGTTTTAGCTATGCTATTTGGTGATCATGATTAAAATGTAATGTAAACTAAATTACTGATAGGTAATATGATTTCTAAGAGCAAAAACTTGTATAATCCACTGTGTATTTCACTTGTGTAGAACATTTTATGAAGTTAAGGAAATTGTATCTGTCCCCTTAAATACAAGACATTTATTTTATGGCACAGTAAACCACACACAGGTGCAGCAGCAGAAATTAAAACTTTGGAATGTATCTGCATTTCCTACAGCTCCTAAGGTTGTACACATTTTTTGCCCCTCACACAGCAATGAGCAATGACCATAGTTGACAGATCTTCAGAAAAGTCTGACCACGAGTCAGTCGGGTGTAAGCGATCCCCCTTCATCAGTGGAGACGTGGGGATGGACGGCAGCTGCTCCAGCAGCTGGGCAATGGGCTCTAACATGCCCAGTGACTCTCCTAAACTGAAGGCTCCAGGAGGCTGCCTGGGCCCAATGCCCGGAGCTACCGTCTACAACAGTGCACCGTCCTCTGTGGACCGGCCCAAGGAGCAAGGTAGAAGCGATGGCTTTTATCAGCTATGTGTTTTTGATGTGTGTCTTCAAAGTAGGGGACAAACAGTTTGGAATGTTGAAGCATATTCTATTTTGTGCAGACCTGATTTATACTCTGTCTTGGCATCCAAGTGGCATACTCTTGCAAGCAAATTGTAAGCTGGTACCCAGAAATTGTTCTATTTACATAATACAGAGCTGTACTCATGAAGCTAAACTTTTTCTTACTGTAGGAATATGACACAAATGCTTTTGTGGGCACTGTGTTGCTGCTTCCACCCTACTTTCATTCATCTATTTACATAACCAAGACAGTTTTGAAGTTAAAGTTGAATCAGTCATTTGAGGTTGTGACGCAGATGGTGTTTTCTGATAAAGAGCAGCACAAGCAAAAGGGAATTACATGCTGTCTTGTCTTTTCTTCTTCAGCTTCTTTTACAGTCTTCCTCAGTTGTCAGAATCACATTTCAAGTGATAGCTATGACTGTGAGGTCCTGATGTTCCTTAACCATGTGTTAGGAAGGCACAATAAATCATTTTGTGAGTGTGATTTAGAGCCCTGTGCAATATCAGGCTCACGTGACCATTCTGCTGTTTTCATTAATAGTGAGATCCCTTGCATCAAACTAAGCACTCCCTTTTCCTCGCTAAGCTGCATTAACCAATAACTGCAAAGTGATTTATTTCTGCCTCAACTGCAATTCGGCACTAGGTGTACAGGGCAGGCAGCACAGCGTTTGAGAAATAGTTGCAGGAAGGCACCGAACATTTTTCACAATGTCAGACACGTTGGATTTGTTTTTGTATCAGTCTTTTCTTGCTGTCTATAGCTCATGCCGTAATGTAACGCATCCCTGCTGTTGGTTAACGCAGCTTAATGAGGAAAAGGGAACGCTTGGTTTGCTGCCAGGCATCTCCCTGCTAATGCAAATACAGCAGAATCATGTGAGATTGAGATCACACATGGATCTAAATCATGCTCAAAAACAATTTGTCATGCAGCCCTACCATGTGTTAATACTTGCATAAACACTGCATCATATGTACACATACTTGTTGAATTCCTTGACCTGGTAAATATATTGAATCTAATTTCTGTGTGCCCAGTGATGAGCAGTGGTGATGGCATTGACTTGCCCCAGAAGGTCCTCTTCTCTCCAGAGCGACTCAACTTGAAGTGGACCCAGGTTCATCGCATTGGTGCAGGCCTGCAGAACATGGGGAACACCTGCTTCCTTAACTCAGCCCTGCAATGTCTCACCTACACCCCTCCGCTGGCCAACTACATGCTGACACGGGAGCACTCCAAAACATGCAAGTAGTTCATTTTGTGATGCTTCTTTGCACCAAGCATGTTCTTGTGCAATTGTACACTAATGCATTATCAGTCGTGGTCACTTAACAGTATGTATGAGCTGCCCTTTTATCTAAATGATGTTTGCTCATCAATGTTTTGTTCATCTGTCCATGGTACAGGTCATGAGCCAGGGTTCTGTATGATGTGCACCATGCAAAACCACATCATTCAGGTTTTTGCCAACTCTGGGAATGTTATTAAGCCCATTGGTGTGCTCAATGAGCTCAAAAGTAAGTGTTTGTCTGTAACTCTGGAGTATTGAATTTTAGCCCTTACACAAAATATTTACCCATAATAAAAGACAGGAGGTGCTGTGTGGCTGTTTACCTTTTTATTTTGGAGGGAAAATTTCTAGTCCAAGCTAGGATGTAGAAACCTGCAGTTAAAATAACTGGTGGCATTTACCAAGTTTACATGTCTTCCCACTTTGTGTTTTCTCACACAGGGATTGCAAAGCACTTCCGCTATGGAAGTCAGGAGGATGCTCATGAGTTTCTGCGGTACACAGTGGATGCTATGCAAAAGTCCTGCTTACCTGGAACCAAGTAAGTTTCATCCTAAACTGTATGTGGTATAAGACATGGATAATACACAATCATATGTTTACTTTTCCCCAGTTTCCACATGATGCAGCTGTGTGGCATTCCGTCTGCATTGCAGTCACTGGAGCTGATTGCTGCTAGTCTAGTTGATGATTGTGATTCCACCGGGGCCCGCTGTGTCGCGTCTCCACTCTGCCCTGCATACGGCTCTTAGGTCCGCTTCTAGATACACATCTAGACTTTTTTGACAGATGCCGTATCTGGGATGCTTCTGACAAAGTTCGACCCACCAATCTTACCTATTTGAGGCGCTCCGTGTTGGCTAGTTTCATATTGCTAGTATTGTCATTGCGCATGCTGACTTTACCTGCAAGTCCTTTGTGTTACACAGCGGTGGAAAGCACATTTGCCAGGTTGTCAGCAGTATGCCGCTTCAATATTACTTTAGCCTGAAGACCAGCACTCTGACACTGTAACCATTAAAATTAATTGTAGTCTGTCTGTAGGCCACAGCACAACAAAGTAGTTAATAAGAACAATAAACAACAGACAAAAGAAATCAATTATCTACAAAGCCTACTTACTCAAGAAGCTCAAAAATGAAGAAAAATATCCTACATGAAAAATCAGCACCACAGCAAGCTGCTCTGCAGACGGAGCCAGCAGATGATGAAGCTGCACAGAGGACAGATCAGATCCGTGTAGCAGATGGAACGCAACACAGCCGCATCCGGTGGAAATGTGGGGTTAGAAGGGTTGGTTTTTGCAATAACTTTTTTCAACACTGAATGCGTTGTAAAAGCTATCCAGGATCAATCATGCATAATAACTCATGTAGATGCACTAAAGGACTTGTTGCTCTGCTGAAATATGTGAAATCCTTGTAGAGCTTTTGCCTAGAAAGTTAGATATCCACATGAAACCTACCTGCAACTTTTAACTAAAAGGTCAGCAGTGTATCACACATGCGTTTGATATACTGCTGACCTTTGTTGTTCTCAGGAGACTCTTAAAAAGTGATTTTTAAGAACCTAAAATATCAAGTTGATTCTTATTCTGCGCTGACTGATGGCCTCTCAACTAATTACTCTTGCTCCAGTCCCTCTCTTTCTCACTGTTGCTCTTTGGGCAGCAAATATTTTGTAACTTTACAAAAGTGCAAAAGCATGTAAAGTTACATTTTTCTTCATACCAATATAGCCAGGAAATAATAATCTATTATGTTTAGATTATGTCACTACTCTTGTTGGTTGTGTTTTTTTTTTTTATTTTAATCTTTATATTTATTTTTGTTAGATTGGACAGGCAAACTCAGGCAACCACTTTCATCCATCAAGTATTTGGCGGTTACCTAAGGTCCAGGGGTAAGTTGTTAGTGTGACTCTTCTACCTGATATCATGTTTTCCTCCTTTACTACACTTGACACTGATCTGTCTTTTTCAGTTAAATGTTTAAACTGCAAAGCGGTTTCAGACACATTTGACCCATTTCTGGATATTACTTTGGAAATTAAGGTAATTAAAGATAATTCCCAGGCACTTTAATGTATGATATGTCTGTGTTTTACTGTGTGCCAAACCAGTTCATTCAGGTTTTGTCAGTGACCTTTAGAAGAGTACCAGACCTCAGAAATGATTTTTCTGTCCATGCAGATGGCTCCTAGTGTCTCCAAAGCTCTGGAGCAGTTTGTTAAACCGGAGCAGCTAGATGGAGAAAATGCCTACAAATGCACCAAGTAAGTTGTTTTACAAGTAAAATAGAATTGGCAAAGGCAGCACGAAAAGGGCCAGTGTTCACAGAATATTTTTCTCTTAGGTGCAAAAAAATGGTCACAGCCTCAAAGAGATTTACCATCCACCGCAATTCCAACGTGCTCACCCTCTCTCTTAAGCGCTTTGCCAACTTCAGTGGAGGCAAAATCACGAAGGTGCCATAACACATGTGGACTACACTGTCCAGCAGTAACATGACCTAGTCATAGGACAGCACCATAATGTATTGCTGCTATTAAATGAATATTTGAGTGCAGTTTGATATTCATCAGCTTTTTTTTGACATCAGGATGTGAAATATCTCGAGTATCTGGACCTGCGGCCCTTCATGTCTCAGTCCCAAGGAGAGCCCCAGTTCTACGGGCTGTACGCTGTGCTGGTCCACTCTGGGTTCAGCTGTCATGCTGGACACTACTTCTGCTATATTAAGGTACTAGCACTGTTATGGACTACTGTTCTATCAGGATTTTGCTTCTGTTAAGTGCATATGTTACACTCCACTGATAACTCACTTTATCAGAGTTGATTGCAGAGCATCTACAATGGTCTTAACAGACCAGGGTCTTAACCATGATGAGTATTTTTCCAGGGCTTGTTTGACTACCTGTACTCTGTCAAATCTCTTCTCATATTTAGCACTTTAAAATACAGTTGAGACTGTTGAAATGGAAATTGTGTAAAACCAAATCTGTTGTCAACCCAGACAACTCTTGTTGTTTCACAGGCAAGCAATGGTCAGTGGTACCAGATGAATGACTCTTCTGTGTCTCTCAGTGACATCAGGTCTGTTCTCAACCAGCAGGCTTATGTCCTTTTCTACATCAAGTGAGTAAACCATAATTGTTTCTATTTGTTTGGTCCTAAGTCAGTATAGAATTTAACAAACATTTCACTGTAGGGTTCTCCCCTGTCAGCCAGAATATGCTTTCCAGTTCTCCGGTAAAATGCAACTGGTTGAATCCTTTAGTCCCTTTCTTTTGTCACACCAGGTCCAGTGATGTGAAAAAGACAGGTGACTACAGCCACATGAGTCATAACCCTGGCATCCCTGGTCAGTCATCTCCACGACCACTGGTGATGCCACACATAAACACCACCATACACCACAACAACATTGGCTTCATAGGTCCCCAGCTGCCTCCACACATGACCAAGGTAATGCAGACTTATTAACTAACAAGAATATTTGACAGATTAAAATTTATTTAAGATGTGTAGTCACTGTTTTCAACCAACACATTCAAATCATGTTACTTTGTTTTACCCTCAGAACACTCTCCATGTCAATGGGAATGGATCTCTGAGGAGCTACCCCTCCGGCTCCAAGCCCAGCACCAGCAGCAATATTCTGGTAAAACCTAGCCATGGACTGGCTTCTTCCTCTTCCATCTCCCATTCAATCAGTCGGCCCACAATGATCCCAGATCACGACAAACGCCAGAAGCTTTCATTCTTCATTGGACAAGGCAAACAGAGCCGCTCGTTGTCGTCCTCGTCCTCATGCTCTTACAGCCAGCCGTCCTCTGCCAGCAGCAGCTCCTCCTCCAGTTCTTTATGCTCCTCACAGTCTACCTCAGACATTCGTTTTGTTCCACGTCAGCTTAACCACATTAACGGCGCATCTTGCAGTAATGGGGATGACCACGCTGGAGGGAATGGAGCATCATTCCTGGTACCGTATGGCCAAGAGTCTTCAGAGGAATCAGACCAGGAGAACTGTGGCGCTCTGGATAATGGTTGTTTAACCATGTCTCACCTCAATGGAAACAACAGAGCAGGAGCCGTCTTTGATAATTCTCCTGAAGCCACGAACGGAGAGTCGGGACTGCACCATAATGGTAACGGGTTAAATGGCTCAGTCTGTGGTGTCTCTAAATCAGGCCAAAACACGCACCACAAAGTCAATGGACACAACACCCCCAATAAGGTAAAGTATATGCTTTGGGTTTTTTTTTTTCCTCTGTCTTACAATGTGTTGATTCTTTGCATTAACAGTAGTTTTAATTTAATAATCATCCATTTTGTGCTCTTCAGATCTCTGGCGCTAATCACAGCACTTCGTCCTCAGTGGCTACTGTTGCAGTTAATGGACATGACAGTGACTATAGTCAAACAAGGTACGATAGCATTCTAACACTGAATAGGACAAAAAGTTTATCAGTTTCACGTATGTGACAGGTATGGGCAAACTATTGCTTTTCTGCTTGTTTTTCTTGCATTTTGCACACCTAAAAGTTTAGTTAAAAGAATTATGTGCTTGTCTGTTTTCTTTAACCAGCAAAGAGGCGCTTAATTCTGCCTCATCCCAGGCCAGTTCTTCTCAGAGCATCCATACTGCTGCCAGTGGAAGCCAGCACCTCTCCACTTCCGTCACAAGGGCTAAAACTTTGTCTGAACCCCTGCCTCAGCATACAGCACCCTCTGCTCTTAGCGCTCCACCTTCACCTACTGCTACAAAGAGTCATTCTGTGGCATCCAGAGAATCTGCTTCCTCTTCTGCACATTATGGCAACACTGCAGCCTTATCCACCCTGCCAGATTGCTCCCAAAGAACCACTGGGGCCTCTCCACAGAAAGATAGCATAGATTGGGATGAAGCCAAGGATCTACCACAGACCAATGGACCGTCAACAGGGACTGAAGGATGCACTGATACTAAGGAGCAGCACCAATCTAAGCCCAGTTCCAGGGGCAATGAAAGACGATCTTCACGAGACAGACTATACTCTGACTGGAGCAGAGACAGGGGGAGAGACTACAGGGACAGGAGTCAAGTGCGAGAAAGTGACAGTGATCGTCATCGGTACAGGCGCGAGTACAGAGATCACCATCGCTCAGACAGGGATCGTCTGCCTTCTAACAGCCGTTACCACAGGGACTGGGAGTCTGAGCGTCGCCGGGAGCGAACTCCCCACCACCCCAGAGAGCGTGATCGTGACAGGTGTTCTCACCATTACCACCACTATCACCACCGATCCAGAGAGGACTGGGAACGTGAGCGCAGAGGATACGGTTATCCCTACCATGAGGACTCATATAGCCGCTGGAGGTGGCAGCAGGACAGTCGAGATACCCGAGGGATGAAGGACAAGAACAACGGCAGGGAGAGGGACTATTACCCTTTAAAAGAGGGGCCTGCCACGGTGCCAGAAACATCCTCAAAGTCCAAGGGCTCACCCCCTTGGCCTCCACTCTCCACATCTGAATCAGCTGCAGACAGGGAGGATCAAAATCAGAAGAGGCTTGCTGATAATCTTAGCAAGGAGAGAGAAGACAGCTCTGAGGACCATCATGCTAAAAAACATAAAAAGAGCAAGAAAAAGAAGAAGTCAAAGAATAAAGACAGACACCGTGAGAGTGGGTGAGTGAGACTAATGATAGTTGATCAGTTATTGTAGCAGCTTTTCCAGCAACAATAGTGATAAAAACCTTTGTTTCAGCATCGTAAAATTGTAAAGCATTGTAAAATGTGCCACACGTCAAGAGGTGTGAACCTTTTCTGATGCGACTGTATGCAAATAGAATTCACATTTGAAGGCTTGACGTATTTTGACAACTGCATTAACTAAGGTTGTGATGATGTGAACTGAAATGATTCTTAAATGTAAGAGTAAGACTGAGTTGAAAAGATATTGATCAATTTGAGCATTCTGCAAAAGAAAAGCACATCAGTAGACTATATGAAATTAGTTTCCATTAATATCATGGGTAAGCAACAATAAGGCATTTTTTGATGGATGAAAAATCAAACAAAATCCCAAAAAATATCTAGATATAATTTTTTGTCAATATTGCACACCCCTGCTTACCCCTACCAGGCTCTCGCTCACATGCATTGGAGTGTTCCTCAACTTTCTTACATAGTGTAGTGTAACCGGGCACTCGTTCAATCTGCTGAGCTCTGTGTTCGTGCAGGGCTGCAAAGCCAGGTCTCATTCACATTGAATGGTAGCTGTCATTGGCCAGCCTCCTGAATCCACGTGTGAACAAGTAAACAAGACAGTTGAGAAGTTGCAATTTTTCCCCTCTAGATCTATGACTATGTTTAGATCATTTGTAAACTAAATGATTCATCACTAGTGAGGATAACGGAGCAGGAGCCCTATGGTATTTATCCCCCAGCTGATGGTTGATGCCTGATAGCAGTTTTGGATTTAAATCATGGTGTATTTTCCATCTTCCTCTAGAACCTCTGACATGGATTCAGATAGATCCACTGAAACAAAAAAGAAGAAGAGGTGGCGGCAGCGAGACAGCAATGCGGAGGAGCGCAGCCCAGGAGCAGCTCAGAGCCACAGGTACAGAAGCAGTGAGGAGAGGGAGAGCCGCAAGCGACATTGCTATGACAGAGACACTAAGCATGACAGTGGGTTTTCACCAGAGAAACGCAGGCGCACAGACTACACTGATGGCAGTGGTGACCACCCCTCACCTTCATCCGGTTCAACTCACCACCATCTCAATGGACACACAGGTATTTTAATATCCAGAATCACGACACATAAATGCTGCTGAGGAGTTCGTCAGTTTAAAGTGTTGATCCTGTTTCACAGGAAACGGTTACAGCCGAACCAGTGGTGAACACAGAATCTCCAGTGTCCTGAAACACTGACTGTGAGTAGGTGTCTTTTTTTTTTTATGCTTGTTATGGTGTGCTCTAGTAAAACAGTGGGAACTCCTATTACAGGCACATGTTTTAGTTCCTAGCTCTGCAAACAAGGCCTCTTCCTTTTCTTTACAGACATCAACACCATTTTAACAACAGCAGAGGAATGACAACTTTTTGATGAGGTGCTTCTTCATTGCAAATAAGTTGTATTTTTACCACAACTAGTGTTTTAAATATTCAGATTTTTTTAAGGTGTTGATTTATTTGCTGTAATTCTCCTAACTATGGTTAAAGAAAAACTGCCACCTGTTGAACATTTATGATGAAAAATATTAATATATACTTGTATGAACACAAAGAAAGCCTGGAGCTTAAACATCTCAGCTGCTGCTCAGTGGAACTCAGGACTTGTTAACATCCACCACCGATATCCACCTGCTTTACATCAGAATGAAACAAAAAGGGAAACGGCATTGCCCAAGAGAGAACTGTAAGGCGGCATGTTGGCTGCAAGTGTAAGATGTCACCATATCTACAGAACTGCAATGATTTTTCTTTCATCCCACTGGGAGCGGACAAACTATTGGGGGGGGATATTGATGAATGGGGCAGACGAGTGCAATGGTGGGAACAAGGCTTCGCTGACTGATACCTCCACTTTAACCCTGGACAGACTTGAGGACATTTCCCAGCCTTTTTTGTTTCCATTTCGCTGTGAAGCCTAAGATTCACTCTATCATTTCTAAACTTTTTCACAAGGTGCAGAGTTTTCTTTTCTGGAACATGACTATCACATTGAAAAAGAAAAGCATCAACAACTTGTTACTGTGGCCGTGGACCATTTGTTTGCTTTTTAATGAAAAATGGTTTGTCTTCTAGCATCAAAAATACTGTGAATTTAATTTTGAACTGTACTATCAGTTATTTTTATACATAAAAATCCTGTATCAGGATTATACATCAATGTTTTGGTTTACTTTGTTTTTAGAGAAATCATGTTAAATTGGACCATATTCTCTACTCCAAAGTTTGAGTATGGTTTGCTTTTGTTTGTTTGCATCTTGTTTTCAACTTCAGAGAGAAGTTGAAACTACTGTTATACTTTTAGGTTTAGCATGTCTGAAGTTATGTTGTATAAGGTAAAAGCCTTAAAATACACTTGTTAATGTCAGAAATTGTAATTTGTTCCTGGTCTTTGTTCAGTAGCTGCATTGAAATGAATGCAAAATGCTGAGTAATGAGTTGCCAGGGATTTTTGAAGAAGTTCCTTTGTATTATACTGCACAGATTGATTGTATTTGAGCCTCGTGTTGAACTTTCCACTACAGTTGAATTATGATCTAGATACATTGAGGATGGAAATAACACTTCTGTATTCACATTTTGTTAAATCCACAGAGTAGCTGAGCTCACCATCATTCATTTTAACAGTTTTTATGTTTGAAATAACCAAAGACCTGGTAAGTTGGAGTCCAGCTCTTCTTCGTGACTTTACATGCACACAAACAGTTGCCTGTTCAGCATGAATTTTTATTCAAACTCTTCATCCAAGTATTCAGGAGAGGTTTTCCCAAACCAAGATCTAACCATATTTTGACCTGAAATTTTCACATGGAAGCAAATCCCCACCACAACATTTGAGGGTACACTCACTGCGCACTTTGCAACTAAGCATTTGAGAGGGCACAGGCTGAATTTTGTAAGTGCAGAATCAGCTCAGAGCATAATCCAGGCAATCCATGCTCCTGATTCTATGCACTCAGATTTCTCCACTGGGGTTTGTGTGAAAGTCTGTCTGTGCCAAAAGTTCCAGAAGTTGTGAACACTCTTCAGTTTGCAAATCAGACTTGGAGGAACTAATTTGTTAGAGCAGAACTAGAGTTCAGAGCAAGGGAGGATCCTTGCTGCTCACTCAAATCATTGTTACACTAACGATTCCGTCTTCCCTTGCGCCGAAGTCTGTTTCTGCTCTTATAAATCCATGCCTGCAGGCTCTGTCAGATTTTTCAAACTGAAGAGCACTTGCAACTTTTGTGCACTTTCAAAACGTTTTGCATGGACAGACATTCGCACAAAGCCCAGTGGAGAAATCTGAGAGCACAGACTCAAAGGAGAGTATGCATGGCCTGAATTACACTCAAATCTGTATTTTGCACTTAAAAATCTGTCTGCTCCCTCAAATGCAGTGTTGCGCTCAAAATGTGGTTAGAGTGCCCTCAAATGTTGTGGTCAGGATTTGCTTCCATAGCTGTAGCGCATCAGGAAGACTGGCTGTGGTTTGGTTCCATCAATCTGGGAAAAACAGTCCTCAGCTTGCAGTCAGTGTTCACAACTGGACTTCTGTCAATTCCAGTATCATTAGTTTCACCTTTTCCAAGGGTATTTTGAACCCAATTATATCCTATATACTGAACAAAGTGAGGGTTTTCTTTCATACACCATGTATTATCTGATCCTCAGTAATAACAGTATGCTCTGCACAAGGTCCCTCTTCCACTGTTGTTAAATTCCAGCTGTCAAACTAAAAAGGTGAACGGGTATAGGCTATGGCCAGTATGATTTACATGCTACATAAACAACTTAAAACTATGTACATTCTATACTATACATGCTTAATGTAAGTCAGGGGCTGCCTCTTCTGTTAAAGAATAAAATAAATACAAAAGAAATGAACTTGATCACGGATGTGGATCTTCAACATGTAACATTATAGAACTAATACAAAGACTGGCCACTTCAAAGGGTCGGTACACTTAATGTTAAGTATCATTCTCCAACCTGTTTCAATGTCTTTGCCTTTGAAAAGGAAATAAGGCGGTGTACTACAAATGTAAAATGATTTGAGCTTTCATGTTCTAGAGGAGATCCATGTTTGTATATGCAGTCACTTGAGGGTTAACAATCAGACCAGCTGATTTCAAAGGTTGAGGCTTTCTGAAGTTGCAGGATACTATGGAACACTATTGGTGGACTGGCATCCGGGAATCTCAGTGGCCGATGACCAACCAGGTGAGCCCGGACAATAAGAGCAGCACATCATGATGCGTATTCAGATTTCAAATCCTCGCGCACTATTGGTGGACTGGCATCCGGGAATGTCAGTGGCCGATGACCACCCAGGTGAGCCCGGACAATAAGAGCACCACATCATGATGCGGATTCAGATTTCAAATCCTCGCTCTGCATGTGCAGTGCAGTAGATTTAATTCCTTGTGTGTCCAGCAGAGGGCGACATCACCATAGCCACATTATGTGCACATACAAAGATGTCCCATGATTCCAGTCATGGCTGTTCTTCCAGTCATCTGCTGTCTTCATCCTTAATCCTTTTTCTTGATAAGGATTTTGCACACAGTTCTTTCTTCTGCATTCTCAGTGTTCAAAGTCTGTGCAGGCATAAATAAAATCTTCACATCCACATCTGTGCACTGACAATCTTCATGTGGAACTAAAAATGATCCATTTAGTCTGGAAAACGCCCATGTGTGTCTGCTGCTGCCCTGAAAGAATGCATGGGAGTCCTTCAAACCCCCATAACATAGAAACATACATACACAAGGGCTCTGCTGGGCACAGAAACTAGTGATGTGGTTGAAGATGGGCGGTCATCATTTTTTATTGGCTATCCTCCTCTTCCTGGTAGCGAGCATGTCGTAGAAAGGATCCCTGCTGATGCTCGCTCTGTGGAAAGAACGCACAAAGGAATGCGTCACTGATCGACTCTTGACATTAATCCTACCCACACAATTAGAGCTTAAAGAAAACAATTAAGCCTGGTCTTTTGTGATTTTTTAGTGCATTCCACGTCCATTTTGGGATGAGGGTCAGTAATTTGTCATTGTAGTAGGCTAACCTTAATCTATCACATCTCTATTTGTCAGTGCAACTTAACCAAAACACATCATGTCTTGTCTGCACTGCATTCTGCTGAGTCTAGAAAGAAACCCATTTGCTTTGTGAGTGATCAACACCTAAACCTGACATTTAGTGATTTTTCACACATCTGAAATGTGTTCCTCACTCACCTTATGTCTCAACATCTCATACCCTTCTTTGAACACCATGAAACTCTTCTTTACATCAATGTAAAAAAGGTGAAGCAACAGGAATGTTGTGCTTTCCAAAGCTTTTTACTCTGGCGTGTCGCACACTAAAGACAGGAATCAAACCCACAACCTTCCCAGCAGCAGAACTGTTAACGTGCTGACTGTGTGCGTTTATGCACAGATGAGTCAGGTGTGGGTATGACATGGGTTTGTGTGTGCGCGACTGTGCTGACCACAGGACAGACTGCCGCCCCAGCAGCTAAGGCAAGTGAGAGTGTGGTTTGGGGCTGCACAGCTCTGTCCTGCTGAGTCCAGTCTGCCATCGTTATTATTCCAACAATGACAGAGTCTTTGCCTTTGAGTGTGCAATGGGATGAAACACTAACAACTAACACTCATGGCAGTACAGTTGTGCTCTGACACTAAAAGCCCTCTGAGGCTTGCAACCAGTGTGAAATGTGTAGCAGCGTGTCATCTCAAGGTCAGCTGACTCCCCTTTCTAGTCACTTTAACCGTACATGAGGCAGCCTTATCCATATATATTTGTCAAAGCTAATTGGTTTTGTTTATATAATTAGAGCATAGCAGGATTGTGCAATATCATTTCTGCTCTGATGCTGATCACATATGGCAGTGAAGCTGTAGCTGAGTGGATGATAACCAGTGAGCCGATCAATTGCCCACTGGGCCCAATTTACTGCTGCACATCCATACTCCTCACTGGTTAACAAGGCAGCATGTGGGTATGAGAAATCAGGTGAAGAGGCTGCAAAAACCGAAGAGCCTGAGTGAGAGTGTGTGCATGTGTGTGCTTTTCCTTCCACTGCTGAGTGCTAATCAAAGGGGAAGCGAGTTTGCCAAGCAGAGAAGGAATTGCCTCCGAGTCTTATCTGTGTGAGAAATGGAGTCACATTTAGTCACCAGCGTGCACATGTGTGTTGCATTCTCACAGTCAAGGTCAGACATGGGAAAGTCCCACATGGGAGTAGCTCAGCGTTGGCTAAGTGCCCTCTCAGTGTAAATGGATCCACACTAACAGCATCTCTTACTTGATAGATTTGATCCACTCCTCCTTCTCCTCCGGCGTGGGGGCAGATATCCTGTACACCACGTGGTTGCCCTCGACGACGCGCCCGTCTGCTTCTGTCTTGCAGGCCTTGATCACCTGACCTTTGTGGTTGGGGTTGTACAGCTCAAAGCAATTCTAGGGCGACATCGAGAGCCAACCATGGTATGATATGCGTGGTAAAAAAAATAACAGGTCTCATTCACCAACATCTTCCTAAGCGTTTTCTTAAATTTCTTTGTAGGCTGTTCTTCAGGTCCTAAGAAATGTCTACGTCTGATTCATGAATGCTTTCTTAAACCGCAGAATTGCTCACACCTGTGTTCTTATATTGATGAATCCCATGTGCAAAGAAAAACCTGGTTATGAAGTGGAAAACAACAAATGAGCTGCTATATTTAGTAGCGTCCGCAGTGAATATAAAACAAAAAGACGCATGGGATGCTCTTAGTCGTTCAGTGAACACTATAAGAAGGGCGCACAACTGATGGTCTGATCTCAAATCTGAGTCAACAAAACAAACACAGACGAGAGATGCCGACCAGTGGAGGAGGACAGGCTGCCCTGAGTTATCTGAGCTGGACCAGCACATCAGGGCCATCGTGGCTCTCCTGGGTGTGTCATCAGCTGAGCACACCTCCATGCGTGCACCCGGGTCCCTTCAACTAAATAACCAGTTATTTCACACGTGTCAGCGCTCAAATGTGCATAGGTTCTATTCTTACCCAAGAACATATCCCAGTAAGAAAACATGGGCGAATGCTGGTATCTTTGTGAAAATGTATTTTATGAACAAGATTTGTTCTTAAGAGCAGTTGATAAATGAAACCCAATATCTGTATGTGGCAATTCTGTTTTTTTTGTTTGTTTGTTTTTTCCAGTTTGAGCTCTCTGTATGAATTCAGAAGACAGGAGGAGTGTGTGTGTTCTTACAGGTTTCCTGGGCTCGTCCACCTCTCTGATACTCAGGTTCTCCAGAGGAATAATCCCACGGGGCTCTTTATCCTGGAGAGACATACATACAAAGACAACACAACAGATTACTCATTCAGTGTGTCTCTTCACCAATATCTAAGATGAGGAGCAGGACAGGGACACAGGGATACGTAGTAAATAAAAGATCCAACCGAGATGATGCAACACACTGAGGTTATTGATAAAAACTGACAGTATTTTGTCAAATCAGTTGGGACACCTGTTAATATTCCAGACTGAAGCCATAGTTAAGGTGATGGACACTCGCCTATACCACTGCTTTTCTTGCTTTTTTGCCCCCAATTAAGCGACCATTTCCCATAAACCCCATCACTAAGACATCTGCATCCTGACTTCTGGCATTTAGCGGCAAGTCAGAGCACAGCCTCAGAGCTGCTAGACTGGATGTCAAGTTTTTAATTTGTTGACAGATCAGAATAGGACATAGATATAAATACCTGTAGGAGAAGCAGAACAGTATTTTCATGTGATGTTAAAATGTGTGGGGAAAATAAGAGCTCAGTATTTTAAGCATTATCTCTACATCAAATTGAGCCTCGCAGCATCACAGGGAGATGTAACCCTACACTCCGCATCCTCGATCCTCCACTGAACGCTATTGTGTGTGAGGGGCCAGATGTGAAGTGTGTGCGTGTGCATGTGTGTTTGGGGGACCCTGGGGAATAGCTATGTGCCCTGCTCGCTGCTAATGAGGGGGCACAGCAGGAGGGAGAGATGCTCAGCTCACAACTGGCTATGTGTGTGTCATTCTGTGTGCACACTCCTGCTGCAGCGTTCTCCTGTGTATGTCTGTGGGGGGTGGTGTTAGAAAGGGGGCTGCTGGGCTGAAGTGGGTTGGGGGGAGCCACTTGGCTTATGGCTTTGCAGGGCCAGATGTGTGCTGTAGACCTTACAGATGTTTCCCATGATGCCTCATGTTAATTGCTAGAGTGAGGTTCATTGAAATTGAAGGGGCTACATCTGTTAATAATAAAGCTGGAGGGCAAAGTCCTCTGTCTTTGTGTGTGTGTGTGTGTTAAAGCATGTGAGAAAGAGAGATTATATATATGCCCTAATTTTTGTTTTTTAATACAGTACTTACAATCTCAGTGCACCCTATCCCTCTATTAAATTTATTTACATATCAGCTATTTCACACACTCAGACTATCAATATTGGATTAACTATTTTAAAATTTAAAACTACTTTTGAGATTTTTATATTGAGCTGGAACATTTGACACTGAGAAATACACTTAATTGCTTTCTTTCACTAACTATTAAGCTAGTTCGCTTAGCATAAAGCCTGATATTCTATGAAAGAGTACAAAAACCATACAAAATCAAAAGGCCAATTATCTCACGTCTAGCACAAGACTGAACACACAAAATCATAAAAATCAAAACAACTTTCAGTTTTAAGCTAGGTTATGTGCGGGACCGTTTCTTGGCCAGGCGTGATGACTTCTGAGGCTTGTTGTCACCGTGAGTTGGGCAGGCAACAGGAAGTCCCCACTGCTGGCAAGAATTAGCTCAAGATGTAACCCTCTGTTAAACCACATGCTATTGTTTCTATACTTGGTTTTTGTATGGTTCAAACAAACAATACCACATTAATTTGATGTCAATATTTAATTAAAGAGCTTCAAAGTATTTGGTGAGTATATAAACCTTGGCACATGACAAGACTGCTTCACTTTTAGTCTTTGTGCTAAGCTAAGCTGACTGTCTCCTGGCTGAAGATTCATATTTGGCACACAGACTAGGGTGGCATCAGTTCCATCTCGCTCTCAGCAATAGAAGAAAATTTACTATAATGCTAAACTCTAACATCCTCTACAGTCAAATATGTTCTATTATGCGCACGCAGTCACACATACACACATCTGCCTACTCACTGTTGTGTATTCAAAGTAGTAGAGGCAGTTGTCGGTCAGAATGAACCACCTTCTCTTCCATGTCTTCACTCTGCCACCTGTAAAGAGAAACACACAGCATTCAAGCTCAAACTGAAGACATGGTGGTGTTTGTGCATGTCAAGACTGATCTATAGGACACCTCGGCTCCATGTGCCACATCTGGTTCTGATCATCGACTCCGCATCATTAAGCTCAATCAGATGCTGGATGCTGCCTCCGGCACCCCCGATCCCTGGCGATCGATGTCTGAGGGGCCAGGGTAGCAAGCGTAAAAGCGCCCACCGTGTTCTTGTGAAAACAGCTGAACCCAGTGTTACCTTCCAGGAGAAACCCCAGACATTCACACACCCATGTTTACAGTATATGAAAAGCTGGAGTGCACCCAGCTGGTCCGACCAGGGAGAGTGATGGATTTTGAGCTAGACCTGAGAAACATTTCTTCTGACATTTTCCAAATAGAAGACAGAGGCAGTAAAATGTAACGGCTCATACTTGTTGCACAGAGGGTTCACTTTTAGAGCGAGTGACCTGTTTGAGTCAAACACCATCTGAACCTTTTTTATTATACAATTACATATCTGAATGTAGGAATTATAAAAGGACATCTCCTCACAAGAGCCTCTCTCTCCATCTGTCTCCATCATCAGATTGTAAGAGATTATTGGGATTACTGGATTTCCTGTTAATTACACCAGTGATGAGCAATTCACATGTGTAATCAAAAGACAATGTGGCCGATATCAGTACACAAGGTGCACATATTGCAGATTATTAACATTTGCTGACTTTACAGGATGAGGTGAAAGCAGTCGTTACTGATGTAATCAATATGTAATGCTCACTTAACCCAGGTTTTTATTCCATAATGACACCACAGTTAAATCCATCATCTAGAGTATATTACTTATGAGCATCCACTGTATTTACTGTAACTCACTATAAAACGGAATGAGCATTGTTGGGTGAATCCAAAATATACGTACATCTTATTATGCTATAGTCGACCATGTGGCAGGCTTTAAAATCATCCTAACATTTAATGTGAATTTCTATATCCAGACCCTCATGTTTGCATGGTTCTAATAGAGATATATCACTCAGTTGTTAGTTTATGGACTCTGGAGGGGGAGCGCTAATAAATGAACAAGTATGAGGGAGTACATTATCATATTATTCTATTTTTTATCATCTGCATTATTTAACAGGATAAAAGGGTTTCCCTTGAGTGTAACTTAGTTGACTAAATGAGGTCCTCATGGGTGTAACAGCCACAGTATTGTACAATGACCAGCATTGATTCAACTATAAATATTGATTAGATATTGTTTGTCACCTCAATTAGATAATTATGGAGAACAGAAGAAAAGAATCCACATCTGTCCCTGTCTCTTGAATCAATCCCAAAGTACAAGTTTGGCTTGACAGTTTCACAAGACTAACAGTGCTCAGACTCTGTGACCCTCACCACAGTTAGACCTTCTGAAACGTATTCTACAACCACCTAAATAACTGAAAGTTACTGCATGCTGGAGGATGATGGATGTAGGCAGAGCAGCGGTCTCAGTGGAGCTCTGTCATACTGAAAATCCTCCCATCACTGAGCAGCGGCTCCTCTGATGGAGCTAACACTAGTGTGGAATTCACTAACGGGAAAACTGGACCTATAATGATCTGGCAAGTGTAGCTGGTGGGACAGAGGGAGGACAATGAAACAGGGCTGAGGGCTCCTTTATTTTTCTGCATGACCAGCCATGCAGTGGTAGGTACGCGTTCGCATAGCGCAGACTCAAGCAGCCCATTCTCTAAAGCTCAAGCATGACTGCATGTTCTGGCAGATAGTTACACAGGAGCTGTGTGACGTGCAAGCTAACGGCACAAAGCATGAGGCGACCCGTTCGCAGCTGAGCCCTGGGAACCTGTTTCAGGACCGAGGAAGGAAAGTTATTTACATCAGAGCAATGCAAGTTAACATCGCTTTCATTCAGAAGATTTAGTTCTTTGGCTGACTTGCTAATGTTTTAAGGCTTGTTACATCACAGCTTTAAAGAAAAAGTAGGAAAATTTGAGAAACACATTCAATGTTTTGCCATGAATTATCTGAAAAGATCATTATGACTCATGTCTAAGTATGAAGCCAACGTTAGCTCAGCTTGGCACAAAGACCACAAACAGGGAAAAGCTAACAGGAAGCAGCTCTGCAAAACATAAGAGGTTTACAAAAATCTGCATCCAATGTTCACCTTCACATTTTCTTCCATATAAATACATTTACACCTGTCTGATTAATTTTGTGATCTACCATTATACAGGTTTCTATTTTATCAGCAAAAAGTGCTTGTTTGTTTATGACTGACATACATGACTTTCCTTTTTTATGCCGTAATCAAAGGCAAGATAATAAATTGGTGTATAGCAAGTGGCACCGAGGTTTGATGAGGTGAACCGTTTTGTCATGCCAAGGCTTCTTGGTGTAACAAGTAGCGTTCTGCGTGCGAACCAGCTGAGCGGAGCTCTATGCCTCATCCAGCCTTCTCCTGTGCCACAATCCCCATGCAGAATGAGGGAGACCACTGCCCTCTGACTCACCTTTCTCTTTAAATGAGTTAACTCATCATCTCACAATGCTGTGACTTACTTGCCCTCTGCTACAAAAAGTCAGTTAGGTGGGTGTCTAGCATGTTCAGGGGGGTCCGGTGTGCTAATGAGATGATGGCAGCCAACGCCAGGATGAGAGCACAGAGGAGGAAGAAGCATTACCTGTGCCATCATGAAGGTGGACAGTTTTCTGGACAAAGACAGGGCTGCAAGGGCAGCATCATGAACCAACTGCAAATGATGTTTTGTAACACTCATTAATGTTACTACAACATTACAAGGCTAGTTAGGTAGATGTTTTCCCTTCCATGGCACAATGAATAGATGGACTTATAACTCTGTTGAATTACCTATTAACTAGTTAATGAGCCATCAGGATATGCAGTGTCTTCACACTGGCAAAATGAACACCAATTATCAATTAAAATGCCAAGACGTGTAATAAATTCACTCAATGTCTGCATGAGCGTGGATGCACGGTTTTTTCCTCATTCAGTAACTCCTGTCTTATGACTGAGTGAACACCACGCCACATCTGTTTTGTAAAGCAGTTGTACTCAGACAGAAGCGAGTCCTATAAAAGAGAAGTTAACACTGTGTTCCCTCAGAGGTCATCGCAATGAAGATGGTCTGCTATTGGTCAACAGCACAAAGTTCACCTAAAGTGAACTCAGAACATATGTTTAACAGTTACAAGTTATCAAAGTTCAAGGCTTTTGTCTGCTATTCTGAAAGCACATACCAAGCTTTAAGAGCCAGCCTTCTCTGTCAGGGTTGAAGAATGTGTGCGTCAGATCATTCCCATCATCCTCTGGGATTTTGAAGGGCTCATTTTTGATGCTGTCATAAAGGTTCTGCAGGCAAGGAAGGGAAACTATTAATCAAATGAGGAAACAGTGGAACACGCCTTACCTGTATGTAGGAGATGTGACATAACGGTCATGGAGATCAATCATCTCACACACGCGCTCATCACAAACAAACCCTCACCCTGAGAAGCTCCTCTGGAAGATCTCCTCCTTCATTGATGCCTCTGTTCATGGAAATAAAGCGCTCCACTGGGGGCTTGTCTCTGACATTTGGATTGTGCAGGCTGGTGTTCAGCATGATGATAGCAAACGACAGCACATAGCAGGTATCTGAGAGAACAGAGATGCATTATGAAAAGCAGATGTCCTGTCACAAAACCCCACTCACACCTGGCATTAACACCCAATCTGTATGTGGTGTTATACAGACTGCACATTACTATCTGGTCTAAATGAGATCAAAGAGTTGCAACAGTGCAAAAAGGGAACAGGTAATACCAGATAATAAAATGAAATAGGCTTTTATTTATACCTTTTATTCTCCAGTTCATATATGATATAATATTTCTGAGCCTGTTTTAATAATACATCACTTTTAGACTTGGACAAGCCAGTTTTTTAAAAACATTTTGCATTTCTACTGCATTTCACTGTGTGTTAGAGAGAGAGAGAGAGAGAGGTGTGTGAGAGTAAATGCAAGGGTGGCAGCTTCAGTCTCTCCACTTTGAGTTAATGCTCAAACTCGTGTGGCCCAGTGGCCGTCTGTAAATGAATCATTCATCCCCCACCGTCTGTCTCCTCACACCGACACTTTGCTCGTGGGTGTTCTGGGGTAACACACAGTCAAATACTATGCAGTTTCCACAGGTTACTTGATCAGAAGGGGTGGACATTGATATTTTTGCCTGGTTTTCACCAGGAGGTTGAAGTTTGTGCCATCCCTCACCGTCTGCCATGTTTCAAATGAACTGAAACATGACAGACGGTGTCAGTGAAGGGGTACTGGAGTTCCTCTGACCCGCCTGTTGGGGCACAGCTGACAGAAAAGCCTGGTTTACACTACAATAACCCCGTGTGTCTGACCTGTCGACTGGAAGACTCCGGGGTTGCACTGGCAGTACCGTGAGGCGAATGCCTCCATCATGCGGTCGATCTTCTGGGCTTCACCTGGCAAACGGAAACTCCACAGGAACTGCCTAGAGTAGAAAAGGAGAGGAAGTCATCTGCGATGCCACACCTTAACCGGGTAGACATAGCAGAACCGTTTTCATTATTAAACGATTTTGTGAATCATTCTGCTGACCGTAGCGCTTGGACGAGGTTGAGGTCTGCAAACTCATGTAGCTCCACAAAAGCCTGGAGTACCTTGATGTTGAAGTCATCCCTGTAGGAAAAAAACACAGAGAACCTGAAGTGATTTTACTTCTAGCCAATTGTTCATTCAGAGGAAAAAATCTTAGAGATTTCAAAATGCCTTTGCGAAGATGAGACATCTCTGAACATCATGTGAACCCAAAAGAGAGGATGGGCAAAAGCAATATGTCCTCCACAAAAGAATTTCTCATTTCTCTCATTCCTGACATGGTTGTGCTCTTATTCATACCGGACACTGAGCGGGTCTGGAAGTAATTTAAACAGCTGGCCAGTGCTGAATGCCTCTTCACCCCAAGGGGAGGGAAATGGTGTCTCACTTAGGAAAAAACAGCTAAAACCAAACCCACACAAGCTCCTTTCTGTGAGAAATTTGTTTGGCAGTCGAAGGGAGTATTCAACAGCTGGTCTCAGGCTGCAGTGACAGCGTCTCTGACTGCGTTTGCTGTACATCAGAGTGTATGATCCGGACACCGCATCATCTTTGTACTGTTCAAATAAAACCAGGAATTTTCTTTGTGTTTTGTGTGTTTTTGTAGAAGGAGGCAGTGGAAAGGTTGAGAAGAGTACAGAAAGAGCTGGCTGACAAGAAACAAACAAAGTTGCATTGCAATAGCACTCCAGGACTATACATATGAATGTTTGTCTCCTCGGTTGAGCGTTTGTGACTGTATTGTGCCCCGTACTGTCATCTGGTGCTACATAAAACTAATCCTGTGAGGGTGGTATAGGTTGTTGCTACAGGTAAATTTACTACTTACACATAGATGTGCCGTGCTATTTGTAAAAATGAAATAAAATTTGCATATATATATATATGTCTGAGTGTATGAACAGTGAGTACACTGTGAAATACACAGGAGCAATAAAAAGGGCTGTCAAACAAAACAACGTGTAATTTAAGAGTCAATCGCACACTCAGTCTGCATCCATCTCCCACTACCCATCCACCTTCCAGCTAGTTTTCTCCTCCGCTGTCTCCATTTCCTTTCCCTGTGTCCCTCCCTCTGTTTTCCTGTTGCAG